ACCTATTGTATCGTTGCTGTTTTCGAACTCCACTTACCGTCCTTTGCTGGAGCTAGGTTTCTCAGGTCAAACGCCGTTACCGGCAGTTGAATTTTCAATAGCCATGATCTTGTTGGCTAACTGAGCTCGTCAATTTAGGCCAAGATATCAAGATGGAAATAAGTAGGCAATAAGAGTGTAGAGAATCTCAATTGGAGTGTTTTCATTGTATCACTGGTTGCGACTCATTAGCTTCTCCCTTTTGTTTAAACCTTCGGATCGAGCCAAGATAGGGACTACACTTTGTTGAAGCTGTGATAAGCATGAGTGACCCTTTTGCTTTTTTGATTTGTTTCAAATTTAAGCTACTCTCTGTTTTGCCCTGAGCATAGATGATGGGAGCTCTCAAAGCCGCGTGATATAGGTGCCCAGATCCCCAGTATTGTAAGTAAGCTAAGGAACTGGAGATATTATGATGCCATGAGATAGTTAGGTGTCCTCCTCTCCAAGTCTCACTCACGTATGCCTCTATGTGGCGTTGAAAGGTCTGGAGTGCATACATAGTATTCGTGAAGGTATTCATGGGAATAGTACATGTGTGTTGGTTTTATTGGTGTATTCTGTTGATATGCCTCCTCTTTTGCTATCTTGGTAAGATTCTGCCGTGACGTCGTATTTTGGCATCATTATTCAGGTATTTATGGCCTGGATATTAAGATATCTCCACATTGGGATCACTACATCGCGTCAAAGATAGCTTGGGAATGGAAAGGATGGATCCTCAGATTTGATCTATTAATAAGATCAGTTCAATTAAAAAATGACGTCGCGTGCGAGATCACCCAAGTTTCAGGGTCGAAAAGCTGGGGCCTGAGGTGCCTTGAGGCTCCGTTCCTGGATCAGACATAGCCAAGCCAATCACAGCACCGCCCGCTACAACCTTATCACTCATAATCCCTGCCAAAGTGACTTCACCTCGATGACGAATCCCTAACCTCAACCTGATGATTACTTGATGCTTCTGACATCAACATCATCTCCAACAAACAACAGATCATCAACCTCCGTTCATAATCTAACAACACATTATTGCAGACTGACCCAAGTCACTTGCGCCGCATGAGCGCCCAAAATCTCTGTTAGACGGACTTCCACTTCATCCGATACGACTACAATGCCGGCCGAAGAGAACGAGCCTCTTGCCTCGCCAACGCGCGAGGAAGAGGAGCCTACCGAGACATCGCCGCTTCTCAACAGAAGCGATGACGAGCATCACAGTGACGATAGCGAGCGCGAACAAAATGGTCGAGTCTCGAATGAGCCTCAGTCACGGGCCGCGTGGAGTCTCTGGTCAATTTGCAACAAGAAGACCAGTACCAAGGCACCTTGGCGGTGGCCTTCCATCATCGCCATGGCGCTCCTTGGTATCATTGTAATACTCATCATAATTCTCGGTTTCCTCGTCCCTCCTGCTGTTAAGGAGTACGCTGAGAAAGCTGCTGTTCTTGAACCTACCAATCTATCCATTGAGAACATCACAAGCGATGGCATCCGGGCGCGTATTCGTGCAAACGTCTATCTCGATGGATCGCGGGTCAACAACAAAATCTCCCGCCGTATTGGAAAAGCTGTTACTGGAATAATGCGAAAACTTGAGACCAAGGAAACCACTGTCAACGTCTATCTACCCGACTACGCCGATGCGCTTGCCGGCACTGCGGTTATTCCTCCCCTGGTTGTCGATGTAGTTAACGGACACACCAATGAGCTGGACTTCGTAGCAGATGTCAACCCTGGCGATGCTGAGCATATCCGCAAGATTGCGAACGATTGGTTAGAGGGGAACTTGAAGCAATTGAAAGTAGTGGGCAAAACCAAGGTTCGCCTCAAATCGGGAATCATCCCTCTTGGTGTTCACGATGTGGCGGAATCCATGGTCTTTGAAGGTGAAGCTCTCTACCGCTCCTACACTGCTCTATTCTTAGGAAAGAAGACACTCTTTTAATGAGAAAAGGCGAATTTATTTCTGTAGTGCCGGACTGACAACCTTGCAGCTAATGAGATCCCTTCAATGCCCAACTACAGCATAGAGCGCATGGATCTTCACGATCGCCCGGTAGATGGCCACGGACGAAAAGTAATCGAGGCCGACGTATCCTTGAAAGTCCACAATGACTACCCAGTGTCCTTCCGAGTCCCGACTCTTGGGTTTGAAGTTTTGGTGCCCAACTGCGACTCATCACTGCCCTCCATCAGTGTTGCAGATGCTATCACGGAGCCAATTGATGTCAAAGCTAAGGCAGATATTCAGGCCGACGCCAAAGGCATCATTCGCGACATTCCAGAATCGTTGACGAAAGCGTGCCCTCACTCTGAATCATCCCCTCTCGACCATTTCATGGATCGATACCTGCATGGCGAGGATGCTAAGGTGTTTGTGAGAGGGAAGAAGACAAACAATACCGATGCCCCCGAATGGATCTCGGATATCCTGGAGAGTATTACAGTGCCGGTCGATTTTCCAGGACGATCATTCGATAGTTTAATCCGCAACTTTTCCCTGACGGATGTCGACTTCAAACTACCCGACCCTTTCGCCGATGTCAATGATCCCGAGGGTGAGCCCCGAGTATCTGGTACCGCACAAGTACTCGCAGCTGTTCCCCCTGAGCTGAATGTGGAATTGGGGGTGGACAAGGTCCGCTCCAACGCTGATCTGTTTTACAAGAAGCGTAAAATGGGCGAGTTGAACTTGCACTACTGGCAGAGTGCCAACTCAACAAAGGTCCATGATAAAGAAAACGGCGAAACTCTTCTCAACATCACATCACGACTCGTCGACGTGCCCTTGACAATCACCGATGGTGACGTGTTCAGCGAGGTCATGCAGAAGCTGCTGTTCGGGGGCGGCGATATCACACTCGACATCAAGGCCGAAGTCGACGTGAAGCTGAAAACCGTCCTCGGCTTTCTGACGGTGAAAAAGGTTCCCGCAGTGGGCAAGATTCCAGTAAACGGTCCGTCATCGCTGTGGTAATCTCTTGCATCCCCCATGAGGATGAATAATCCTTATCTACACGCTGAAGTATTTTCTTTACACGCCTTACGATCATGGCAAGGGCCAATACTGACCTATAATTAGGATTCCCGGGAAACGCACTTGGTAAACTCAAGCCTCAAGTCGGCGAGATCGAGGTTATGGAAACTACGGAGACGGGAATCCAAATGAGAGCTCTTGTCAACCTCACAAACCCTACACCGTACGCAGCTGTTGTACCTTACCTCAGCGTACATATTCTTCACGATGGCGAACTTCTCGGTGAAGCCATATCAAGAAATGTCACATTTGACCTCGGAAAGAACACCAACCTTCCTGTTCTTGCGACTTGGGACCCTTTACGATTTGGCGGCGAAAAGGCACAAGCAATTGGCCGCAAGCTACTGTCAGACTATGTGTCGGGCAAGAATACGACGCTGACGGCACGTACCCACAGACGGAGTGTCCCGAATGTCCCTATAATCGGCGAGGCTTTGTCCAAGATCAACATCACTCTGCCTACGCCGCGAATAACTGTCCCTGGCGAAGACGAGCACGAAGGCGAGAAGCCACACTTTATCGCAGATGCCACTTTTCATCTCTTTTCTTCGACAGCTACTTTTACACTTCTTTCTCCGTTGCTATACAACACTTTATACATAGAACACATAAACGCAACTGCTCTTTACAACCACACTGAGCCAGTCGGTCAGATTATACACGATGAACCTTTCCCAGCAACACCTGGGCGATCCCAGACCCCACGCTTGCCAGTCATATGGTCTGCCAGCAGCGTGGGCTATGGCAAGCTGAAAGAAGCACTGGGCGGATCGCTCAAGCTTGATGCCATAGCCAATGTCACTGTGAGATTGGGCAGCTGGACTGAGAAAATCCATTATACAGGCAAGGGCATCGGGGCGAAGGTCAGCCTATAGGTCTGATCGATTCTGAGGGTTGTTTTGTTTGGAGTTGGTGGTTCTGATTTTTTGGGGGAGGGGACTCGCTTGGGATACTGGCGCGTATTATTTCTTTTCCCTTATAGACACCTAGGATACACGAAATTGATTTCTTTACGCTATGATATATATTGATGTTCTGTTTCTAGTGCGTTGTTTGAAAGAGTTGAAGTGAACAGCAACTTTTTCCCGCAGTTCAGCTTTACTGATTCTCTGAACAACCACGTATATGCAGAGCACACAAAAAATACAATCACCAACGCCATTTTTACAAAGGTCATGTTCGTTGAACCTTTACAAATTCGCAGATCACTGACAATTAGCATCTGGGGTATAAAAAGCTCGTCTGTGCCAGCCCAGACACCAAGAACCATTCAACTAACCATCATCTCCAGCTGACAGGTTTTGCAGGTAAGTCACAAACATTTCACCAGCTAATCATTCTAGGTTCTCGATCTCACGAACTATCATGGCTTCCCAATACCCTTCTGGACTCACCCTTACCGAGGTGAAGAACTCCAGCCACCACAACAGTGCGATCCCCCTACCGTTGTTCTCATCATCAGCTGGTAAGTCAGATCAGGAGTCGACCCTGGCTTTAAAGATGGCGCAGGCTATGGAAGGGGAGGTGGATGAGGCAATGAGAGACATGAAGAGGACCTGGAACGAGATGGCGGCTGAGAACAAAGGACAGTCTATGGTAAAGAAATGATGACAGGGGCAATGTTTCACTTGAAGCTCATGCTCTGAACTTGCATTTTCCTGGGGACTGCAAGAATCAAGGGGCTGTGACAAAAGAGGCTGCCGTGGGAGGCGAACAAGGGGGGACAGGAGCCTAGGTTAGAGTTAGTTGAACACACAAAACATACCTTTGATCTAAATCTTCACATGGTGTCAGCCAGAAATGAAATCTCAAATAAGCACATGAGCAAAGGGTAAAAGCACCTTTTCGTTGATCTGAATTGTCCATTGCCGGTATTACTATTCGTAGCCTCCAACTCCATTCTGTTGATAAAAAGTCAAGTGAATTATGCAAGTCGTACGCCAGCTTCCCGTCGTTTCTTGAGCTGCTGTTGAGCTGCCAGACTCATACCGGCAGAACTTGCGTCAAACATGCTCTGTGCTTCGCGTCGCTTCTCGTCCTCAATCTTCTTGAGCCGCTTCTCTGTCTTGCCCTTACCACTTCCCTTGCCATGGAACTTGTGGCTCATGTACTTGAACGCCTCCTTGTGGTCAAGAGAACGGCCGTGGTCATCGGTGTACTTGATGTCGACGTTGGGTTTGTATCCTGCTGAGAACAGCTCGGCCATGCGTCGAGACTGCTGCTGATCTCGCCAGGTGTTTTGTTGACGTGCCCACTCCTCACGCTCACGAACCGACATTCTATCCAGCTTGCCACTTGTACGGTCACGCTCTCGCTGGGCGCGTGCCTGCTCGTCCAGCTCTTCTTCCAAAAGACGTTTCTTGGCGAGGAAGTCTTCTCGGTTTCGCAAGCTGGTATATTCCGCATCCCCACGTGTATCTTCCACGAGACCACGCTCTCTTAATAGCGCGAGCGCCGCGCCCATACCTGCACCAACGGCCTTCTCTTCTTCGACGCCCGCCTCATCCAAGTCCTCGACAGCTGATGATTGGGGCCTCTCTTCAGCCACTTCTGCATCGTCACCCATGGGGTGATCGTCATCGGGTTCTGGGGATTTTGATACAGTCTTTGGTCTTCTGGGCTTGCGCTCTTCGCTTTCACCGGGTTTACTTAGGCCTGCAACAAACTCTGAGACTTCATCGAGAACAAGGCCACCCTCTTGTTGCTCTACTGGTTCTGGCTCGTCATCCTCCTTAAGCAGTCGGGCGATGTCTTCAGGTCGGGTCTTCTTTCGCTTCTTCAAGGCATTCTTTCTTTGGATCGCGAGTGTTGCTTGAAGGTCGTCATCATCCACAAAAATATCATCGACTGCCTTTCTCTTCTTTGTCGTCGTGTCTTTTGAGTCGACGTCCATCACGTCATCTATGGTAGTTGTTTCAGTAGGAAAGAGATCATCATCGTCTGTGGGCTTTTGTCTGGTTCCCTTCTTGCCCTTCTTCTTTTTAGGCTTCTTGACTTTGATCTGTGAGGGATCTATATAGTCTGAAGAGATAGGAGCATCACCTATAAAGGTTGGATCGTTAGTATGATATTCTTTTCTTTGGGCACGCAAGCTGGACTCACCAATAACGTCGTCCAAGCTCACGTTCTGGCCATTCTTTGTCTTGTCAACCGGCTTTTCAAGGATATCTGAGAGCTCTGCAATGACGCCACTTGTGTCGAGTGTGAACTTCTTGGATTTCTTGCCCTCGATCTCCTCATCGTAGTGTGACAGGATACCACGCTCACCCTCCTCGTCGTCATCTAGAGGGTTATAACCCGGTTTCTTCTTCTTGCTGTCAAGTCTCTCGGCAAGCTTTTCGGCCTCGCGCATGTTTAGATTCTCCAGCTCGTCACCTTCTTCCTCGTTCTCATCAATAGTTGTATCCTTGAGGGTGAGAATTTGGTCGTCGCCATCGAGGAAAGCCGCTGTGTCATGTCCAACTTTGATGCCAGCAAGATCCTTGGAAGTATACTGAACTGCTGCAGCAGCTTCAGCCTCGGCTGCGGCCAGCTCCTCTTCCAATTTCCTGACTTTGGCAATCTGCTTCTGTCGCTTCTTTTGGCCTATGAGCCAGTCTTTGGCGCTGAGATCGCCACCCTCCTCGGCTTCTCCAAAGCCTTTGCCCTCCAGAACTGCATTTCGTTGCGCCTGCTCCCGGGCTTTTCGGACAGCTGCAGCTTTCTCTTCGCGCCTCTTCTTTGCCTTTTCCGCTTCAATGACTTTGTTGTAGTTGTCGTAGGCCTGAGCTTGGCGACTCTCCAGTGTGCTGGGTGCATCGCCATCCGCGTACATTGACTGAGTTTGGCTGGTGTTATCTGCTCCTGGGACAGGCAGAGGCTTCATTCCCAGGGAGACACGAATCCTGTTGGTCTCTTCGATCGTTGCGGCGTCCATCTTGGCGGGTCGTGTCGCGATGGCAAAGTCGATATATGCGATGCGACTATGTTAGATGGTGAGAACGACTATTTTCTGGTAGGCAGAAAGATAGGCCTGAGGTTGATGAGGTGAGCACGGATCACTTCCATTGAACGCGGCTCGTAGGTGCAAGGTAATTCCGCAGTTGGGCCGGATTATGTAAGCGGACAGTCACAATTTTATGTATTTAAATCTCAGAGGCGCAACCAAAATTTTCTTTTCTCTTCTCTTCAAGCAAACACGGATCTGTGCCTAGCGATCCCCTGCTCTTCAGAGTCAGGGTCGATTGCTTTGCAGCTCGATAACTTATAAGGAGCCATCAACTTGTTATGGTGTCAATCATCCTATCGACAGGTCCAAGAGTAACTGTTGCTTTAGCCGCTTCATTCGCTGTCGAAAGACGGCTTGAGTGTCGGGGCTGCTGCATAACGAGACGCTATATTCCACCCCCCTTTTCCGAGACCGTCGGTCGGTGAGGTTGGGGAAAACCATGGCCTACCTACATATCTTTTCACTAGAAGAATCTTTTTGCAATGCGTGATGTCCGTATAATTCCATATGTATAATGTCGCGATGCACCTGAGACAGGCCGTCGAACTTTTTTAGCGGACCCTGGACTAACGTTGTATTGGCGGAGCAACAAAAGCGATCCAACGCTTGGCTTTGGTCGTTGCTGATCCCCCAAGTATCTTGCCGTTGACAGCTAGAGCCTCCTCCTGATGGCTTCGGCTTTGATCCTGAATCTGGGGATCAAGTCCACCTCATGACAAAGGAACAAGCATCACTTCACGATCTACGGCCCGTCTTCGGAGCAAGGTACCAAGATTTGACTAGATCGCATAATGACGGCGGAGTGTCCTGTTGTCGGGTCTGTTACGACGTTCATGGACCAATAACTTTGCCGCAGGGTAGGCATGATTCCGTCAGTGAAGTTGAGCCCAAGTAAGATATCATGTCACAACAGTCGATAGCCGATGTACAGCATGCATATGCTGGTATGCATACATCCATAGACATGAAGGTTGTGTTACACTCGGCGCTTTATTCCAAGCTACTCGGTACTCACTAATAATCATCCGTCCACTACCGACGCCTCGATCCGGGGGAGACATGTCTAGTCTGGGGTTTGAGAATTTGAGCATCACGAGAGAGTCTGGGGAAGGGGCCGGAACGAAGCGAGAGCCCATAGTCCATAGCTCGGCTCGCATGTGAAGACTGCCCTGTCTATGAGTGGTCATGGATGTTATGTTATTATTACAGGGGCATGATTGTCCTCCTACCTATTGGGAGGTAGTAAGTCATGCCATGGAGGTTGTCCAAGCTACCCCACACTATGAGTTGGAGACTTGCATGTCAGTGAAATCATACATTATTAATTTGGGGAAAAGTCACAAGAGCTCAAGTCAGCTGGTGCATGTGAACGGTTGCATACAACTATCAGAGGTCAAGTTGACAATGAAACTCCAAATCATTATTGTTGCCAAGAGGCATCTGAAGTCATCGCGAACTGGGCGAGCATATTCAAACGAGTATGACCTCAGCAAAGCAAAACAAGCCGAGGTGATATCAACTGCAAAACAACACCACCTCCTGGAAACTGCAGCAGACTCAGACTAATTGCAATCAACTCGGCCTCATTCTAATTATTCGGGCCTTTAAACCACACCGCACTATCCCCCCAAAGGCCTGCGTCCGATGTTCACCAACTCTACAGCTTGCTTCCGCACTTCCATATTCGGCATCTAACAACTAGACCCTTGACTGGCATAATTCTTCTATTACGAAATTTCTGTAATAGCCGGAATGCCGACTCTCTATAAAACCTTCACGATGGACCTGGTAGATGTTGGTGATTCAGTCTCATCAGTCTCGATCAACTCTACAGCCTCTCTGATACTGCCCATCATGTACTTTGTGTCTTCTGCCTTTCTTCTCGGCTCATTTGCTCTTCAGAGCGTCTTGGGCCGACCAGCCTTTGATGAGAGGAGTCTCTTACAAGAGAGACAGTCTTCGGTCGACTCCTTTATCAAGTCTGAGAGCTCGATTGCTATTGAGCAACTCCTCTGCAATATCGGCTCCGATGGCTGCAACTCCAAGAACGTAGCCACTGGTATTGTCATTGCTTCTCCAGACACCCAGGATCCTGACTGTAAGTTGATGATGACTTGGACAACCTGAACTAAAGACATTTCCTAACACACACCAGACTTTTACACCTGGACTCGAGATGCTGCTCTAGTCTTCAAGTACGTCGTCGATAGGTTCATCAACCAGTATGATGCTGGCTTGCAGAGGAAGATCCAGGAGTACATCGCCTCCCAAGCCAAGCTCCAGGGTGTTTCCAACCCTTCTGGGTCGCTTTCGGATGGCTCAGGTCTAGGAGAGGCCAAGTTCAACGTCGACATGAGTGCCTTCACTGGTGGTTGGGGTGAGTATTCGTGTTTGGCGCCCCTGAATGAGAACAGTTGACTAAAGGTTGTCAAGGTCGACCTCAGCGAGATGGTCCAGCTCTGCGTGCGACTGCTATGATCACATATGCCAACTGGCTGATTGCCAACGGCTATACCTCCACAGCCAATGACATTGTATGGCCTGTTGTTCGCAACGACCTCAACTATGTGGCTCAGTATTGGTAAGTGATACAGCGGCAACAGCCTTGACTGGAGCTAGTTCTGACCGTCACAGGAATCAAACCGGATTTGACTTGTGGGAGGAGGTCAAGGGTAGTTCGTTCTTCACAACTGGTTCCCAGTATCGAGGTTAGTTTGCTGGATGATTCACCAGTAAGATAATGTACTCACATTTTGAAGCTCTCATTGAAGGTGCCGCTCTGGCCAAGAAGCTCGGCAAGTCAGGAGACAACTACTCCAACATCGCTCCCCAGGCTCTCTGCTTCTTGCAGACTTACTGGATTTCTTCTGGCAAATACGTCGACTCTAACAGTAAGTATTACGCTGGCTCGACCCTCAATGAGAATAACCACTGATCCACGTAGTCAATGTCAACGATGGCCGCACTGGCAAGGACGCCAACAGTATCCTGTCATCCATCCACAATTTCGACCCTGCCCTGAACTGTGATCCCGCCACCTTCCAGCCATGCAGTGACAAGGCCCTCGCCAACCACAAGGCGGTTACTGACTCTTTCCGCTCATGGAATATCAACAAGGGCATCTCTCAAGGCTCAGCTGTCGCCGTGGGACGATACGTCGAAGATGTCTACTACAATGGCAACCCCTGGTACCTCGCTACGCTTGCCGCAGCAGAGCAACTCTACGATGCCATCTATGTCTGGAAACAGCAGGGATCCATCACTGTATCGGACGTCTCTCTTTCGTTCTTCAAGGACCTCGTCTCTTCGGTCTCTACAGGAACATACGCCAGTGACTCTGCCACCTTCAAGAGCATCACTGACGCCGTCTCCAAGTATGCTGATGGGTATGTTGCCATCGTTGCAAAGTATGTCGGCACAGATGGCCACCTCGCAGAGCAGTTTGACAAGAACGATGGCCATCCTCTTTCTGCTACAGACTTGACTTGGTCATATGCCGCATTCCTCTCAGCTGCTGATCGTCGAGCTGGTGTTATTCCTCCCTCTTGGGCTGGCAGCGTGGCTGCTGTCCCCAACCAATGCGGTACCAATACTGTTGCTGGATCCTACTCATCGGCCACTGCAACTTCGTTCCCAGCATCGCAAACACCCAAGGGTGGTGTGCCCACTCCAACTGGCACCCAGACTTCCACTTCCACTTCCACTTCCAGCTCGTCCACTGGCACCAGTTGCCCTACTGCAACCTCTGTGGCTGTCACTTTCCAAGAAGTTGTCACCACCAACTTTGGTGATACCATCAAGATCGTTGGCAACATCGCTGCTCTCGGTAACTGGGACACATCAAAGGCTGTTGCCCTGAGCGCCTCCGACTATACCGCCTCGAACCCTGTGTGGAAGGCCACCATTTCCCTAACTGCAGGACAGTCCATCCAGTATAAGTACATCAACGTTAAGAAGGACGGCTCTCTTACCTGGGAGAAGGACCCCAACCGCACCTACACTGTTCCTAAGACGTGTGCCACAACGGCTACCCAGTCTGACAAGTGGCAATCTTGAGATTATACTTTTGTTCTCTATGCCTTGAGGGCTATTTCGACAGGTTGGTAGGCAGAGTTGGATTATCACTCAGATTGTCACTGTGACTGGCCTGGGAGTGAAACCCGACGAGTTTGATGACGAAAATGAAGGATACGTGTTTGGAGATAGCAAGCCTGATAATAACATATCTGTTTATTGAGTCCCGTGGTTTGTTTTAATATGTTTCTCTTGTACCGAGTATCGATTATTGACTGCAACATGTGATCTCATGCCAAGATTCATCGAATATCTGGCCGAAGCAGATTGGTGCAGGACTTTGTGTAGACGACCGTGAAGTGTCATGCTGTGAATGCTAATTTCGTTAACATTTAGACACTAACTCAGTCTATGACGAGCTTGCTTTGATATTCACAACAGTCATGTTAACTCTAAGCCTAACATTAGCAACTGAAACCCCTTTCATGAGGAGACACGAGTGCATCTCAAGCACTACCCCCATCTCTTCGACTATGATGTCAATAGCAAAATCCCGAGCACTTGCTGGAATTTGCTGATTGTGATATATCCCAATACCTTCTGTAGCCACTCATGTGCCAATTTCTCTAATTCCATCGGTAGCTTCTTTATGCAAACTCTTCATCCTCTTCCTCTTCAATCTGGTTTTTCACTCGCACCAAGATCGTTGTCTTCCACTTATCCAGCTTGCTAATCTGGTCGAACTGATACAGCCTGTCGGTAAACTGCTCCTGGCTCTTGGCCTCGATGGCCTCGCACAGGTCAGTCAAAAGCTGATGCTCTCGCTGTGCACCAAATGAGGGGTCCATGTCGCGGTACTTCTCCAGGGCGCGCTGAGCAGCGACCAAATCGCCACTAGCCAGATGGCAGATACCTGCCTTGAGCAGGTAGTCCTTGACGCTGTACTTCATGAGGTTGTTGTTGATTGATTGCTCAGCAACTTTCTCGTATTTCTCGATGGCCTTGTAGTAGTCGCCCTCGATAGCCGCCACGTCGGCCACCTTCAGCCATAGCTTATTGGCAAGACTATAAAGATCCATAAGTAGATGCAAAATAACGCTGCGGTTGTGATATCCAACTTACGCTGCCGCATTATCGCCCTCATACCAGGTAGCAGCGAGTTCGTAGCACTCGATAGCACTCTTAGCATCGCCGAGTTCCAACTCGTAGAGCTCGCCGAGATTCTCCTTGTGGGAAGCTGCGCGGCGGAAATTACCCTTGGCGCAGTATCGGTCGACAGCGACGTTCAGGCATCGCGCAGCAGCCTGGGGATCGTCTTTGCGGTAGGCCTTGAAGGCATCCACGAGGGTGTTGGCAGCGTCATCGGGTTCCTTCAGCTTGTCGGTCTGAACTTGAGCGGCCTGTTCAAAAGCCTTCCCGGCTTCGAGCACTAGATGTCGGAAGTGTCAGCTTCTGTTTCACAACGAAACAAAGCGGTAAAGGCGTACTCTGTTGCTGCATCTTGAAGGCATTGGCGGCTTGAATGAAGAGATCAGCGGCCTCTTGGTACTTCTCCTCTCGTCCACCAAAGAAGCTGAAGCCACCGCCGGCACTCTGAAGCTGCTTCTGAGCCTGAAAGTTGCGATCTGTCAGCACAACTGCAAAGCAACAAACAACCAATGCAGAGCGGGGGAGGGGTTACGAAACCTTTTGGAGAAGAGCTCTTGGGTCTTGAGCCATGGTTGTGATAGTTGCGAAAGGGGTATCAACGAGGACTTGGGAGGAGAAACAGAAATAGAGAAAAACACCACGTTCTGGGTTATCACGAGTTGGCTTTAAAGTTGTATGTAAGTGAAGATGGCGAGTACCCTCGACTTGCGGCGCGGACGGCGGCTGAGCTATGACGACGGTCGCTTGAGCCACAGAGAGACGCCTGGGGATCTTTTTAGTGGGCCTTCGCTGTCACTAATCCTCCCGCAGAAATGGGCACTGAAGATCTACCTAAGATGGATCAAAGTTACTTTTATGTATATCCATCACAAGACTCTAATTGACAGATCGCCTTACGCCAAAAGAATCCCTTGATCAGGCCAGCGCATCATGACTATCTGCGCATCCTGCCGTATTGCCCTTCGGCGCAGCATCACACATTCTACAAGACCTTTGATAGCTCGGTTCATAACAACGAATTCGTCAACGGCCGCCTCGATTCTAGAGAAACCCACCTGGTCCGTTCGAAGCCTTCTACCATCCTCACCAAGTTCAGCTCCCGCAGAAAAGATCACGCCCTCCCAATTACACCACCTCCTCCGCCTCTCAGCCCTACCGTTGCCAACTACACGCGAAGACGAAGCTGCCATGATCAATACCCTCCAGAGCCAATTGCAGTTCGTCCGCGCCGTGCAGCGTGTGGACACAACCGGGGTTGAACCCCTGCGGGCGCTCCGTGATGAGACCATAGAGGCTCGACAAGAGGTGACAATTGGCCTTGCTGAATTGCAAGAAGCCCTGGATAAGGAGGTTCGTATAGGACATTATCAAAGGGCGAGGAGGGTTAGAGAGACGATTGAGTCCGAGGCAGAGAAGTGGGATGCCCTCAAGACGGCTGGCAAAACAGCTGGAAGATATTTCGTGGTTGAGAGTGCGAAGAATGATGCGGAGGGTGCCGAGTGATTGAGATATAAGTTCGCAAGATAGCTAGCTACCTTGTATGAGTCCCTCCCAATGAGATACCCCTCTGTACATTAAATCCTCAAATGGAAGATTCTAAACCATGTGATTCTGCACTCATGTTCGCTTGAACCCTGCCCAGATATCGCTATGCCACTAGTAGTCTTCACATACACGTGCCCAATCCATAAGTATCTATGTTCGTATTATCATAATTAACGCTCATTTCGCATTGCCCTTTTTGTTCGACGGTCCGGCGTCCTCGTTGTTCTACGACTTGGTTTCCGACGGTCCATCCTTGGGCTTTGGCTTGGGCACCTTCTCGTACGCATTCGGACTCGGCGCCCTCTTCTCTTTTCCCTTTCCATTTCTCCTCCCACGTCCGTGACTATGTCCGTGTCCATGCCCACAGCTTTGGCGCTTCCCGCCCGCTGGTTGTGCCCCGTCGCGGTCAGAGCCAGAGTCTGAATCTGAATCTGAGTCGGAGGAAGACTCGTCGCTGGATTCGTCGACGGCTTTTGGCTTATGGTAGATACAACACACTATTGGAATCTGTGTCAATATATGGGCGTACGTTGGTCTAAGATCATAATGCTCACTCACCTTTTGAGCTCTTGCGTCCAAGACCTTCATTGTCTACCACGTCCTCTGCCCACTGTACGGATCGCCCATTGGCCGCATGAGCACCTCGAAGTCTCAGGATCTGAGGTGCTTGTTCTCTTGTTTCTGGTGTTTGCGTCGGGGTCTCGGTTTGTGTTTGTGTTTGCGTTTGCGAAGGCGCTGGTGCGCTTCGTTGTTGTTGCCGTTGCGACATGGCTGTGTTTGATGTGGTGTTCGACGTAGCTATAGCACAAGCGACTATTTGCGTCCTTTGATGTGTTTGTCGGAGAGAAAGAAGTGATTTCTCCCGGAGGATGTGGTGTTGTCTTGTTAATAATGTTGTCACGCGCTTATTGATGGAATCGTATGGCAAATAAATGATTTGCCATTAGCATCGGCATTCAGTTGTAAAGATACGTACCTCTCTTTTCACATCACAACTTGTCCGATTTATAACCAATCATTAGATGCGAACTTCCATTCGTAATTTTCTATCCTGTATTAAAAACAACCTATCCACGTCTATTTAAGGACTTTTCTCTTCGATAGCTAGGTAGGTAGGTATGAAAGAATTGACTTGATAAAACTAAAACTGCTATTCTTCAATGCTAGGGTACAACTTTGACATTGCAACTACACTAGGTGATCTTCCACGCATTAACTTAGTTAAGGGGCCAAGTAAATCAACCAGGATGAATGCTTCCTTTGCCAAATCTCATAGTTCTCTTGTAGTTCTATATTACACAATGCTTAGATACAGTCTATACTTGGGGTGATATACAATTGACATGGTAATGCCACCATCATCATCTACTCATTCATCATACAGCCTTAAATCGTACAGTGTCCAACCACCATGACAGAGCTCAGTTGATCGCAGCTCTCTTCTCGGCTTTGTCCTTTTTCTTGGCACCCTTCATACTTCTTCGCGGTCGACTCCTCTTGTGCTCTGGCAATACACGAGGCTTGTTGTGTAACCATCCTTGGATAGGTTGACGAGAGCCAATGAATCGCCCCTCGGGACTGAAGACATCAACTGCTGGCCAGCCAGGCTCTATCACAGGCTCAGGCTTAGGCTCAGGCTCCTTGCGCCTCTTCACCGCCGGAGTGTTTGCATCTATTCGCTGAGCCCTCATGACTGCAAAAGGATCAGACGTATCGACCTGCTTCGGCTTGACCCTTTCCTCGAGTCGGGGTTGTTGGTCTGGAAATACCTTCACAGCAACATCCTGCGCGCGGACTTGAGCAACAAGCTCAACATAACCTACACCCTCGATGAGGATGTCTGTCGACAACACTCGGAAAGGAAGCCTGTCGACGTTTAAACCAATCGCATTCTTCCGCGTAAGAGGGCCGGCTCTTTGTCTGGTGACGTCGTGAGACAGCTTAAATGTTCCAGCATGCTTCATCTTGCCTCCAATTCCAGGAAGCATGATACTTGGTACACCGATGGATTCTCGTGTCTGCTCCTGGAAAGCAATGGCCTTCTCAGTCTGAGTGAGATGCTCCTCTAGAGGTGTAAAGTTGTACGCCAGGAAGACCAAGCCCGGGTTCTTTGGTGTGATGCGAATAAGACCTCCTCCCAGTATGAGGGACTTGCCAGGCGTCATTGAAATCTGCTCAGGCACAATGCGCTTCTTCATGATCATTGATTGACGGCATTCTTCCTTCACAAACAAGTCCAAGTCGCTTCGTGCCAAGCCAGGAAGGTCGATTAATTCGCCTTTTCCGTTTCCAAAAGGTACTCGAATTGGCGATGCTGTTGTTCCAGGCAGCGAGGATACGAGAGGCATGTCGGGATAGTTCTGAGCAGGCTGAGGGGGCGGAAGCAATTTCCCAACATCGACGTCTTGCTCTCCGACCTGTTCGGTATATATCGATTCCGCACTGACGCTATCCCGAGGATATGTTGACACTGATGCCCTCCCTGCGTCCTTGCTTGGCCCCATTCTGCCTTTGGGATAGACAGCCTCAAAGAGCTGACTTTTGCCCACATTGACCTTTCCAACCATCCACCCCGCGCCACCACGCTGCCAGATATCTTCTTTAACCTCCGTGCACCACCAAGCACGCTTTGCGCTGACGCATCGAACATTGCCGAGACGAACCCTACCTCCAAGTCGGCCAAGAGCATCTCGTAGTACTTCACGAAGGTAGGGCATCATTGAGTCCACAATCTCTTTCGTAGGGCCAAGAAGATCGCCTCGAGTGATGATAAAGCTCAGTTCTGTCTTGCGATCATTTTGGTACTTGCCCGATCGTGATCTTCGATTGCGCGTCCTGATGGGAATGTCGCCGAGAAGAACATTAAGTCGTGGGATTAGCGACATGGGGAAATCGGCAGCATCAATGACATGATAAATGTGATTATACTTGTGCGGTGATTCCTCGATGGTTTCACGCAAGGACTCAACGGTGGGATGGAACATAGCAACCTTTGCTGTGTCGCTCGAGGTGCTATAATGCTGTAAATTGTGGCACCGATCGCAGACAGGCTGTTTATCTTGGGGCAATGGTTCTTTTGACTTGTTAGCTTCTGTAAGATTCGTAGTAGAAGAGTTAGAGGCGTACTCGGAGCAACATTTCCCTCCTTCTCAGCTCCAGTTACCAAGAGAGAGGGATCTAGGCCAAGAGCTTCCAGCTGACCTGGGTCTAAGGATTTGAGGACGCCATCGACAACTACATCTTCCTGGCTCGCTGTATGCTGACGCTCAAAAGCCTTTGGGTTCAACCACTTCTTAACTCTTTTGCTCTCAGGGTCGAAATAGCCCAGCATTTGCGGATCATTCGTTTGCGTAAAGGCACCGCATCCTGTGCAATTTAATGGTAAGCGTCTCTTGGGGATCCCAAGGCCCAGAGATGAGTGTTCGCTTGTTGTGATTGGTGTATCTTGGACTGTCGCTTCGGTGTGAGTACGTCGTCGAGTATAAATCGGAGTTGATAAAGGCGTCGCTTTTGGTGTTCTATGAACCCGACTCGAAGCTCCGACGGCCGGACATAAAAACAAAGGAACACTCGATGAAGCGGGTGCTTCACCGATACTGAGAGCTCGGTTGATCCATCGAGCTGACAATGCGCGATGCATTGCGTTGTTTCTATAGTGAAGAAACGAATTCGGTTTGTCGCAACTAAAAATGTTGGACTTACACAGATTGTCCCAAAAATTTCCTAGGAAATCATACCTCCACTGTAAGTCAAAGTGGCATACAAACAACCCCACCAGCCAGTTCGGGTCAACGCTCGGCCCGCAGCCTCGAGCACAGCGTTTCCATTTGGGCAGGGGTCTATGATTTTCTGGGCCTAGAGCCGTCGACTTTTTGAAGCATTGCGACCACGGGAACTGGTTCGATTCTCAGGAGACGCTTGCGTAGCCTTTATAGATTAAAGGTTTGCGCAGTCCAAGATGAGGTCTCTCGGTGAGCGCCTTAACAAGCTTCGTGCTGTAAGTCAATTCTCTAGGTTCGCATCTTAAGGGTACCTATGGCTGACAGTTGATATAGAAGGTAGATATCTCTCCCACAAACGACGATCCGCGATCCATTGCTCACGATTGAACCAGATCATTTCCTTAAGATGCGGCCCAGGCGCAGCAATTCTCCCCCCAGAGGTGACCAGAATACATATGGACTTTGCAACGAGCTTCAAGAACGGTCATATGGGCGCCAAGTTAGTCCATACATCAAGGTCTCCAGCACATCAACTAATACACCAAAAACAGAAAGTTCTGGCGTGAGAACCTCCCCCGACTAAAATACCATAATCCCTCAGTTCCTATGATCGTCAATCGTCACAGCCGGAACAACAAGAAGCCTACAATCTCTATCTATCTCCGCAAACCCGACGCTTCAACTCCCGCGCCCGCTACTCGTTCCCAGCCCTCCTCATCACGCAATAACATGTCCAAGGCCACACCACCGGATGCTGACGAGAAGATTGTCACCGTCGATATGACTGAGAAACATTCTTCTCACATTCTTGAATACGTACTTGCCGAGACCCGTGCTGTCCCCATCAAACCCACCAAGGAGGAGATTCGCGAATTGCAGGAGTTGGACGCCATGGCCAGACAAGCCGAGGTCGACCGAGCACGTATGAGGAGCCTACGTGAGGAGAAGAAGCGTGAGGAGGATATGTTGAAGCGAGCCCGGGCTGCTGGCGGTGTTACTGAGGAAGAGGATTCGTAAAAAGGCTTGGAGTGAAAGAGACCATAACGATGCTGTACAATAAATGTGTATTAACGAATGCCACGTATCTGGCAAGTGTACAAGTTGGAAATTTACAAAGTTCCACTACCTTTTGCTTGGACTTGTATGTCGATCGATGCGTAAATGGATTGCTGGGCTGCCGTACATGTGCATCGTACGTTTCAACGTTGAAGAACTACGATTCTCCCATAGAATCTCTTATAGACAAATAAATTCAGGTTCTAATTGCACCTTGACAGGTTCTGTATATAGATCTACACTCCCGAAACCCCTTGAACTACCTATCAAAACTCCGTAAATGAAATGAATGCTTATTCGTAATTTCATCAACTGTACCATTTACTTTATCCCAAAGCCCTCGCTTTCATGAACAGCAGTCCACAACAACTTCTCTAATCTTTCTTTTGAATTGTATCGTGACAGGGATAGCATGTTGAAGCACGTTCGGGCAATAGGGAACCTGCCTTCATCTTCGCCGAGGCAGGATATCTTAATCGGCAGTACAGCCGCACCCATAGCAGGAATTCGATCGCTACCAGTGATGAACAGGAGTAGTTTCCGTTGATCTTGAGATGACGCCGCCTGAAACGTCTCCCAGAACCAGTCAATAACGGGCTCGGAACCATCTGGCTTCTTGGTTCCCCAGTTATCATATTCAGCGACTCCCCTCAGCGAGTTGATGTCGAGCTCTTCATCAGAGCCTCGTACAAGGAGTTCAATCTCTTCTGGCCTAAAGAGAGACAGAGCATTACCTCCACATACAGTGTAGAAACCTCGTTTGAAAGGCTCGAACTGTCTCGTTACAGACACATCGATTATGTGCCGCACGTAAAGGTCCACGTATTCTCGACGGTTACTGTTGGTGACAGGGATGCGTTCGCCTCCAGGGCAAAGGGGAACCTGCACCTGAGTACCGTACTTATCCATATCAATAACGAAATCGAGACAGAAGGTTTCTTCCACATTGCCTTCATATTCTAGCAACTGCCGTAATCCTCGAGCTAGTCGAGGTCGGTATTCTGCCAGGTCTTCAAGGGTGTAACGCATAGGAGGCTTCGGATGAGCTGATGCCCCTGTGCCGTGTGTTGGGGCAGATGCAATAAGTTTCCGAAATGCAAAAGGAGGGAGGGCCACATCCAGAATAGTCGAGTTGTATATAGCAAGTCCCATCACGACTCCGACCAAGAAGAATTGATCGGAGGTTTCAAAAGCGTTCGGGTTGAAATAACAAAACTGAGAATCCTCGTCATAAAGGAAAAGGCCTATCCAGAGTCAGCAGGGCCCCTATTTCTGTTGGGCGATTCAGCTTACCATGGTCGGGATTGAAAACTTCTCTGGCTAGGAGTAAAAACCACTCTTTCCGTAGACCACCAGCATCTACTCCCTCCTCACCACTAAAAGTGATACGAAGACCCTTTTTGATATCCTCACTCCCACTTCCAACCACCTCACTGACAGCTTTTAGACTATCATCCACCAGGCAATCTCGGCGAACATTTAGTTCTAGGAACTGGTTGATAGCCTTGCGACTCATGATACTATCAAAAAAGGCGTCACGGGCTTTGCTCTGCATCTGACGACGAGCATCGTGCTCAAGAATATGGTTCTTGGCCCATATGCTCAAAAGGAATGGGTACTGGCAGAACGTGAACTTGCTCCTACGAGCTTCCCAATTCTCAAAGTCCGCAACCAAGTCAGTGTAGTCGATCATTGAATTGTAGAAGTCGCTCGTTGGTAGAATTTGTCCGTGAGAATGAACGTTAGAACGACCCTCGGCCGAGTCCGGAGAGAATTCTTCAGTTCTCCGGCTGTGTGGCAAGTTGTTGGCAGCGAAGAGGAGCGCCAAGACTCGCGAAGAAGCTCTGATCTGCCAATCTTCGGCATACATGATTTTCTTTTCAGGCTCCTTGGCCTTGTTCGACGAGTTTGCGCGGTTTATCTCATCGTAGAGATAAGCTCCTGAGCGCCCTTCTTGCATTTGTGGTATCAGGCCAGCTGTGATATCAACTTTCACCTCTTGCTTCTTCCCACTCTGTCGAATCATCCGATATGTTAGGAAACCAGATGCCAACTCTTTGGTACGAATGAAGCGAGATGGGTGATGTCTTGAAAACCAGGTGATCAACTGGTTATGGCATTCAGCCGACGAGTTTGATACTAAGCCCACTATGCGCTTGATGATGCCCGAGTGTTGCCCAGATAAAGGTCCAGATTCAGGGGTGCCAGCTTTTCTCTGCTGTATCGGCCTCGGAGCAGAGGGCAAATTTTTGTCGAATTGTAGAATTCCCCGAAACAACGTTTCATGTTCGTGTAGTAATGGGTTTTCTAGGATGATTAGGAGAAATCTCAAGTCAGCTGGATCCTTCAATGGCCTTCCAGGTCTTTTTAAAAGCATTTCAGTTGCTTTAAGGAGAACTCGCCGAGCATGTTCTTGGCCCTGCAGTAGTTCCCGCTCCATTAATTGTAATTCTCGCTGAGAAGGGGTTAAGAAGCTTTTCCCTTGACACATCTCCTCGTAAATCGCAAACCATCCCTCAGCAGGATTCACAATAGAGTTGTACCATTTTATGAGATCGCCCCAACTCATTTGTGGTGTCTTCGTGTTGACTGGCGCGCTTGAGAAACTTCGTTCCACACGGTTTGTCGACGGCCGTCGAGGCCGAGCGTCTTCTTGGTTGCCCATCCACCATGTCCCGTTCTCAGCAAAGTCACCTAAAAGTAGCAACTTTGGATCGAGGTCGCATGATCCATCATCGAATTGCGGCGTAAACCGCTCCTCTCGCGGCTCGCGTGTAGCATAATTTCCTGAAGGCTCGCGACGATGCCCTCTCTGTTCACGAGGTTCACTAGGTAGCATTGGCTTGCGACGAGTCGATTCGCTTCTACATCTAATGGGCAGGCGGTGGTTATGTGTTAGGAATGATGAGTTAATACATTCGAAAGAGCCAAAGCAGGCGACGATGTAGTCTTCCAGAGCCTTGAATATCCTTTTCGGGTCGCCCTCAGATTGATCCGGCGATTTACGTTGCTCTTTTGGTCCGCGCTCTTGCAATATGTTACGTACTGGAGGTCTTTCGGTGTAAGAGGAAGAGAAGGATCGCATTGGCGTAGGGTTCGGTCGGGCGGGACTCGACCGTAGCGTCGGTTCCTCATCGAACACATAATGGGAAACCTGTATAGCAGGCGATTTGGATGAAGGCGCTGTTTCCTGTCTAGGATCGACCGGCGCAAGGCTTTGGCCAGCAGCCTGCATTCGGCTGCTGAATGACAATTTGCTCTGCGACGGCGGTTGTGGCGGCGCCTCGGTAGGAGGTTCAGGAATTGGATGTAACCTCTTAGAAAGGAAGGATTGTATCGATTGCCGAACCAGTCGGTTTGTCTGTTCGATCGAGATATGCGGACCTGCACCTATATTAGTGATTACCCTCTTCCTTTTGCCTTTAATTCTACCTCGAGTTGGGACAGACCGGGAAGGATCCTGGCTTGCATCTCTACGTGACTTGGAACCATCATGATCTGCACTCAGAGGCTCTAAATCGTTGACTGTAGTACAGATCGTGCATTTGAACACCTTGAGCTCCCGCGGCCACCGTACTAACGAGCCACATGTCATGCAGTTGCCCGTCGTGAAATCCTTACTTCCTACAGGGCCGCTTCGAGTATGAGAAGGGATTCGAGCGTGGGTCTTTGGTGCTTGTCGAGGCATTGTCGAGTCATCCTCTGCAAATCCCAGGTCAGGCGGTGGTGCGCCGACTGAGTTCTGCCTCTTTTTCTTGCTGCTGAAGAGAGAAGGAAAAGGCTGGCTCATAGAGCGTGTGTGCTGTGGTCGACGAGGTTTGGAAGATTGAGGCCGCGAGGGATGCAAATCAGACTCGTCGGAGCTGGAATCGGCGTTTGCATTGGAGAAGGATAACTCGAGGCGATTCCCGTTCGATGTGTTTGGCAGATTCGTCGAGTAAAGCGCAGGCAATGTGGTAGGCGTGTGTAAGGCCGTATTGTGAATTCGACTGATGAGGTCACCGTTAGAGTTGTTGTTGTTGGGTTGCGACCCACGACGACTCGGCCAGGGAGTCATTTCTAGGGAAGTTACTAAGGATTCAGGGAGGCGATCTCGTGCAAGTCACGAGACACTTGTCGAGATAGGTAGGTAATGATTCTGCAACTTGTGGATAATTGTTCGGAAGAAGAAAAGATATTGAATCAGAGTTTTAAACGTCTTTTGTTAGTCAAGCATGATGGACATGATCCAAAGTCAGCATGATCCGAACGGGAGTTGACGCCAGCAGCAGACAAGCCCAGTTCAGCTCGGCGAAGTCAGCCAAACAGACCCATGCTTTGTCTTTTAGGACCTAGTTTCCAATGGTGGGAGGAAGAAGAAGAAAAAAGGAAGAAGAGTGAAATCTGGAGGACGAGTCTGCGGAAACAAAGCAATGAACGATGAGTGTTGGATGGGTGCAGCTCAAGCCGTGGCTGTGGTTGGTGAAACAAGCCCGGTTTGTACGCACGTATATTGGATGGTAGGCAGACAGTGTTGATGATGAGTAAAGATCCAATATTAGTATTGGATCCAATACCTTGTTTAGGTACCTTATGAGTCTATGAACCCCAATGGCTATGTCCGTAATAATAAATCGAATGTAACGCGCGGCCGCCGACTTTTGAGTTCCTGATTATCTTGGCCCATTTGGTTCTGACGGATTCATCACAGACCCGTAGATTTCCCCTTGTCTCTCAGACGTCTCCGCGACACCCGGAAATTTTGGGCGTTGAACTCCAATTGAATATCGCCTGTAAACGCCGAGAAGCAGGGGTTTAACGAGAGGCTTGACGGATACGGGCATTACCAGGGCTTCCAAGCAAGACGTGGAGTTCCTGGCGGCCAGTGAGACTGTGAGGAATGGAGAGGACGATATGAGATTCAGGTGTTTATCAGGTCTCATCCTCTTTCACCGCAATGGGAAACGTGAATAGCCTGCCCT